GTGCCGGGTGCTGTACAAACCTCAGCCGAGATCAGGGCCCCGTTGTGCCGGGCGCTGTACAAACCTCAGCTGAGATCAGGGCCCTGTTGTGCCGGGCGCTGTACAAACCTCAGCCGGAATCAGGGCCCCGTTTTGCTGGGCGCTGTACAAACACAGAGTGCGAGACAGGCCCTGTCCCAAAGAGCTTAGACAAAGGGAGGGAATGGTAATGACTTGCCCAGGATAACCCTCTAATCCCGACATCCCCGTACACCTGATGTTTCTCTTTCGGGTAACTCTGCTCTGATTGTTATTGTCTGTTTGGGCAACAAAATGGCAGATGAATTTTGATGTGGATAAGTGCAAAGTAATGCACATTGGAAAAAATAATCCCAACTATACATACCAAACGATGGGGTCTAAATTAGTTGTTACCATTCAAGAAAGAGATCTTGGAGTCGTGGATAGTTCTCTGAAAACATCCGCTCAATGGGCAGCAGCCGTCAAAAAAGCGAACTGAATGTAGGGAATCATTAGGAAAAGGACAGATAATAAAACAGAAAATGTCATAATGCCACTATAGCAATCCATGGTACGCCCACGCCTTGAATACTGTGTGCAGTTCTGGTCTCATATCAAAAAAGATATATCAGAATTGGAAAAGGTGCAGAGAAGGGCAACAAAAATGATTAGGGGGCTGGAGCAGCTTCCGCATGAGGGGAGATTAAAAAAACTGGGTCTGTTCATCTTAGAAAAGAGACAACACAGGGGGGATATGATAGAGGTCTATGAAATCATGAATGGTTTAGAAAAAGTGACTAGGGAAGTATTATTTACCCCTTCACATAACACAAAGAACCAGGGGTCTCCCAGTGAAATTATTAGGCAGGAGGTTTAAAACAAACAAAAGGAAGTCCTTCTTCACACAATGCACAGTCAACCTGTGGAACTCCTTGCCAGGGGATGTTGTGAAGCCCAAAAATATAACTGGGTTCAAAAAGAATTAGATAAGTTCCTGGAGGAAAGGTCCATCAACGGCTATTAGCCAAGATGGTCAGGGACGCAACCCCATGCTCTGGGTGTCCTTAAAACTCCAACTGCCAGAAGCTGGGACAGGACAACAGGGAATGGATCACTCAGATTTGCCCTGTTCTGTTTATTCCCCCTGAAGTGTCTGGCATTGGCTGCTGTCACAAGACAGGACACTGGGATAGATGGACCACTGGTCTGGCCCAATCTGGCCGTTCTTATGTTCTTATTATTTATCAGTACTGGGCTCAGCTGAGATCAGGGCCCCCCTCAGACGGGTGCTGTATAAACGCAGAGTGAGATAGTCCGTGCTCAAAGACCTTAGGCCTAGATTTTTAAAAGTATTTAGCTGTTGCTGCACTCAGCGTCCCGATGCCTAAATGATTTAGAAGCCTAAATCTCATTTTTAAAAGGAATTTAGGCACTTAGGAAAAAAATCTGGGCCTTAAAGTCCAGACGAGAGGGGAAACTGAGGCACAGAGCTGACTTGCCCACGGTCACATGGCAGGCCCAGAAATAGAACCCAGGTGTCCCGATTCCCTGGCCAGTGATCTAGCCACCGGACAAGCCTGCCTCTGTTAATATTTGCATGGATATTTGTAACAATCCTGTGCTGAGAAGGGCCAAAGGGCAGGACCCGAATCTCTTCAGTCCCGCCCAATGTCTCCCGCCTCACAGAAAAGCAGCCCCAAACCAGCTGTCACTGTCGGCAGGAGCTTTGGCACTCACTAGACATGAAGCACAACTGGCTGGTTAAAGCCTTCTCACCTCTCAGCCCCAGGGCAGGGCAGGATAGCAGTCTGATCTGCTGCCAGAGTCACAACACGAAGGCTGGGTCACGGCCTGATTTTCATGTAGGTTATGGCTGCATTGTAAACCTGGGTTTATAATTGCTGGACCCGGCTCTCACAGCCGTGCGAATGCGTCCACCCTGCGCTATACAGACCTTCAGACTGAGCTCTGCGGCTTGACCTGCATCCACACTGCAAAATGACTGGCCTTGGAACTGAGCCACAGTGGGTCTCGGGCTCTAACTCACCCTCCTAGCAGGATCTTGGGACCCAGGTCCTGAGTGCTTGTCGACCCGAATCAGGCTGACGCGTGTGTGGACAGAAGCGGGGCTTGGGCTCAAATCCTGAGACAGACCCCAGGCTTAATGTGTAGACATTCTGAGAGCACCCCTTGCACAGGCCAATGTAAAGCTGATGTAAATGCTCTGTGCTGGCCCTGCTCCCAGCCCCACAGAATAGGGGCTGAAGTGGGAGATGTGGCTGGAGAACCCTGCATTATGGCTACTGTCAGCTTTCCATGCCAGTGGGAGGCAATGGGAAGCAGAGTGAAAGCTAGAGCAACCCCAAGGCTGCTTGAACTTATACCAGGGTCACAGCTCCAGAATACAAGGAGTGCAAAGGGTGCTTTGTGGTGTAGGAAATGAGGATCAGGCTTAGCCGGATTTCTTTGATGCACCCTTTATCGTTCATTCTGATGTAACTAAAAAGGCGCTGCGCCATGGAGCTTGAGAGCACCCAAAAGGTTTGCGATGAGAGGACTGGAATAAGACAAGCCTCATCATTTTCATTGCTGTTTTCCAGGGGCCCCGTGGTCTCCCAGGCGAAAGAGGACGTCCCGGCTCATCCGGTGCTGCTGTGAGTATTAAAGTTTCCTTCCATACTGCCTGCTCTTCCCCGCCCCTGCAGCCAAGTGCTGTGCAATAGGTGTATAACAAACCAGGACAATCATAGTAACTAACCACCATCATTATCATTCCCTGCAACTCCTCCCACACAGCGAAACGTCCTCTGCTCCCTCTCAGGGAAGGGATCTGGTCCCTGAGTCGCACAATACCGCTACTTTGGGGAGAGCTAGTTGGGAAATTATTCTTTTTCCCTATGAGAAATGTTGACAAAACCATCACTTTTTTTCCTTCCCATCAAAACAATCTCAGGTTATTGTCAAAAAGCCCTAAAACCAAAATATTTTGGTTTAAAAATGTTTAGTTGTGGGGGAGGGTCCCACAAAAATTTGCAAGAAAATGGACAATTTTCGGGGGGAAGTTGCATCAAAAAATGCCATTTCTCATTGCGGTGGGAAAATTGCAGTCAGCACTAATCACGGGGGCCTCTCTTCTGCCCTGAATGAGTGGGAAACTCTTTAATCCTTTAGACAAGAGAAGAATCCTGGTCAATCCCAGGTCCGAAATAACCAAATATCATCTCCTTCCAAAATGACACTGCAAGCTCCTATTGGCATGACCCAGGTCAGATTTCCAAAGTGTTCAGCTTCCACTTAGGCAGCAAAATGAGCGGCTGGTTTTTGAAAAGACCCAAGCACGCTGGGTGCATGTTGGTTGCTGAGCACTCTTGAAAATCGGGCGTGACCCCGTTCCTCCATTTGTGTCACTTCCTTGCAAAGAGCCCCCCTCTTTTGATTGGTTATTCATCTTTAAGTCCTACCCTCCAGTTAATTACTCAATTTAGCCACGCCTCCATGTTGTTGTCATGGCGAAATCCCAGAAAGAGGCAACACAGACATTCCAAGAGAGAATATATATATATATATTTAAGTTCTGATTTGGGGGCGGGGTTGTTTCTTGTTCTGCATAAAGCGAAAGACGATGCTGACAGTGGGAGCACATTGGAATTAAACGGCTTCTGCTGTTATCAGTTTCTTTGACAACGCTATAGATTATAGGGTAGGAAATTACCATATTTCAACACTGAAAAAAGAGGACACTCCACGGGGGCCTGGCCCTGCCCCAACTCTGCCCCTTCCCCACCCCCAGCCCCGCCCCTTCCCCAAAGCCCCTGCCCCAACTCTGCCCCCTCCTCTGAGCACCCTGCATTCCCCCTCCTCCCTCCTGCTCTGATCTTGGTTGGGGGTTGCTAAGTGCTTCCCTGCTCCCCACTCGCCCTGCAGCCTCTGCGCCCCCCGCCTGCCCTGCCCCTGCACCCCCCCGCCCCTGCAGCCTCTGTGACCCGTGCTCCCCACTCACCCTGCAGCCCCTGCACCCCCCCGCCCCTGCAGCCTCTGTGACCCATGCTCCCCACTCGCCCTGCAGCCCCTGCACTCCCCTGCCCCTGCAGCCTCTGCGCCCCCCGCCTGCCCTGCCCCTGCACCCCCCGCCCCTGCAGCCTCTGTGACCCCTGCTCCTCACTCGCCCTGCACCACCCGCCCCTGCAGCCTCTGAGACCCCTGCTCCCCACTCGCCCTGCAGCCCCTGCTCCCCACTTGCCCTACAGCCTCTGCGCCCCCCGCCTGCCCTGCCCCTGCAGCCTCTATGCCCCTGCCTGCACTGCTCCTCCTCGCCCTGCAGCCCCTGCACCCCCCGCCCCTGCAGCCTCTATGCCCCCGCCTGCCCTGCTCCCCCGGCAGCCTCTGCCTGCTGGGAGCTTCAGACGCTCGGCAGCGCGGGTCTTTGCAGCCCCGGCCGCAGCTTCCTTCCTGCCACCGAGCACGTTCACCGGCCTGTCTGTCCCCGCCGGAAACAGCTCCCGCGGCGCCGGGTTCTGAGCTGCGCGGGGCAACGGGGCCACAGGAAAGGTCCCCCAGTGGCCGGGGGGGTCCCCGCCCGCGAGGGAAGCCCGAGCCCCCCCGTTCCCCGCCTGAGCATTGTAGCTAGGGCAGCTGGGCTGCGCTGCGGACCCGGCGGATCGTGCTGGGCGGACCCTGTCTTACGCCTCCCTATTTCCCCGGACATGTCCGGGGAAATCCCGACGTATGGTAACCCTATTATAGGGTAAAATTTTCAAAGGTGCCAAGGTGATTTGGGAGCTTAAATCCTTTTTTTCATGTCACCGAGGTGCTTAGGAGCCGCTGTCTCCTTGAAAATCAATGGGATTTGGGCGCCTCCGGGTAAAATGTTCAAAAGAGCCCAAGTGGTTTAGGTGCTTAAGTCACCTGGGCGCTTACGTCCCATTTTCAAAAGTGATGTTGACACTTAGGAGCCCAAGTTATATTGGAAGTTGGTGGGATTTAGGCTCTTCAGTGCCTAAAGCACTCCAGAAAATGGAACTTAGGCTCCTAAGTCACTTCGGACATTTTTATCTTTAGTCTTTAGCTCTCATTGTTCTACTCGGATACGCCTGCGAAGGTGTCCATTGAATAAGGGACTACCACAGACATCCCTCTAGAGCAGGGGTGGGCAAACTTTTTGGCCTGAGGGCCACATCGGGGAATAAAAATTGTATGATGGGCCATAAATGCTCACAAAATTGGGGTTGGGGTGCAGGAGGGGGTGAGGGCTCCGGCTGGGGGGCAGGCTCTGGGGTGGGGCTGGGGATGAGGGGTTTGGGGTGCAGGAGGGTGATCCGGGCTGGAATCAAGGCATTCGGAGGGTGGGAGGGGGATCAGGCTGGGGCAGGGGGTTGGGGCGTGGGGAAAGGCTCAGGGGTGCAGGCTCCGAGCGGCGCTTACCTCAAGTGGCTCCCGGAAGCAGCGGCATGTCCCCCCTCCGGCTCCTACGCGGAGGCGCGGCCAGACGGCTCTGCACACTGCTCCATCCGCAGGCACCCCCGACACAGCTCCCATTGGAGCACCAGAGGGGGCCACTGGTGTGCGTAGGAGCCGGAGCAGGGCCATGCCGCGGCTTCCGGGAGCCACGTGGAGCGGCCTCCAACCCAGCGCTCCAGCTGGAGCGCCAGAGTGGGACCGAACCGCGGGGTGCGGCCCCCGACCCAGCTCCCCAGCAAGAGCTCGGAGGCCAGCTTAAAATGGATCAAGCCCATGGGCCGTAGTTTGCCCACCCCTGCTCTAGAGTGAGAGGATTCCCAGTAAAGTCCAGTTACGCTGTTGGCATCTTGGTCCTAAGCAGATGTTCAGGCTGAGATTTCCAGTCACTTAGTGGGGATTTGGATGGCTGGTTCCTATTAAAATTCACAGGCAATTGGAGCAACAGGCCCCCTAAGCAAGATCTGCGAACAGCTGGCTGGCCTGATCTGCCTCCCAAGGGATGGTTTCTCTCTCCTCTCAAGCAATTCATTGGTGAATTTCCACCCCCTTCTGGCAGCTCGGGGCTTTGCAAATATTAAGGACAATCCTGTTGCAAGGATCTGTCCTGGCATAGACCAATTTCCAGCAGAGAGGGAATAGTGTGTTCTGTGGACTAGCGATGAGCGTGGGCTCTGTGCAGTGTATTGCCCCATGAATCATGCTGTCCTGCAGTGAGCTGCATTCCACTGCTTGCTTTGCTTGTTTGCTGTGCTGGGTTCAGGCCGCCCAGTGGAGACATGTGCTGCATTGCCTCAGATCGTATTACAGCGGGGCAAGGTGATGTTGCATCGGCCTTCCGCCTCACAGTGACTGGAGCTAGAGGGCTGCAGGAGAGAGTGCAGGGACATGCACTGGGCTGCAGAAATTAGAGTTCATCGGGCTGCAGCTGGCTGCAGGATTAAGTGAAGGGGCGTGCATCAGGCTACAGGAATCAGCGGAGGAAACTGCATTGTGCTACGCTGAGCTGCAGCAGTCAGCGCAGGGCTCTGCATTGTGCTGCAGTGAGCTGCAGGAGTCAGCGCAGGGACATATGCATTGTGCTGCAGTGAGATGCAGGAGGTAGTGCAGGGACATGCA